AGGGAAACCTTCCTCGGATTGGTTTCGTAAAACAAGTTTGACTTATTTTTACTGAATTGAATTGACCTGGAATTTTAGTGTCATGATGATAAAGTATCAGGAATGAATTAATAACCAAATTCAAATACATGCATTATTACCCTGCAAATTATTATTCTCAATTCCCATAATAGAATAAACAAAATAAATAGGAATTAAGTTGATGTTAGAATGGACTAGTTACATATAAGAAGTCCCTTTGTAGCAGTAAGAGTGATTATACTGTGACCTAGCATGTGATCAGCAAACCGTAGCTCCTGAGTCACATGTGGCTCTTTGGCCCCTTGACTGTGGATCTTCCACAAAACACCACGTGCGGGCGCGCACATACAGTGTGATTGAAACTTCGTGGCCCGTGGGCAGAAGTCGGTATTTTGTGGAAGACCCGGTATATTGTGGAAGAGCCACGCTGAAGGGGCCAAAGAGTCGCAGTTTGCCGACCACTGACCTAGGCTATTAAAGGGATTACAGGGTTGTACTCTTTTACTCATTCAACATGCATTTATTGGTATCTTAGTATTTCCCCAAAAGTAACTTTTGGAGATAATAAATATTGCAGTCTCATCACATTTAGAGTTGAGCCATTCCTTGGTGTGGAAGGAGAAGATGGGGCCCTTTTTGTAAAATATTCTTATTCTCTGAAGAGTCCCACAAGATGCCATCATAGTAAAACCACTTGATCTTTAGCAAACTGAGGTTGCTCTACCCATAGAAGACCAGCAGCGACATGTGATCCTAGGCAGCCGACTGACTTCCCCTCGCCCTTCCTGTGACAAGAAGATACAGTGGGTAGTGGAGGGACGGGCTGCCTGGCCCCGGTGTCACGGTGAGGATGACTAGCCGCCATGGACCTTCCTTCTCTCATCCTCATTCCTTCCATTCTCTGCTTATACGAGGGCGGTGTGATGTGTTTAGTTCAGCACACTCAAAATTAGACGTGTGATTAAGTGTTGATCTCCAGGAAGCCAGAAGGCCCGGATGTTGTTCTGTTTTGTATTGGTTCACTCGTCACAAAACTGGTAGTCTAGCCTGCTCCTTCGTCTCAGAATCTTGCAGTGAGGATTCTTCCACTTAAGAACCATAAAGTGCTTATAGCATTGTCTTCAACATTACCTTCTACTTCAGAATGGGAAAGAAGACCTTTTGAGTTTCTTTTGAGCTCACGATATTTTATTTGAAAGTGCCACAAGGAAAATTGTTTTTTATTTTACTCCATTTCTAGGACCCTAGTTTGCTCCAAAGGAGTCTGAAATATATGTTCATATTAGTCTGATTGCTTGGCACCCCCTGAGATGGTTACTGGGGAGGCTTTGGTGTAGAAACCCCAAAGCAGATGTCTTTAATGCTGCTTGAGGTCACTGAACACTTCCAACCATTAGACTTGACATAAAAGACAAGGAAATCATTCCAAGGTCAAAGTCACTCAGCAATTGTGCTAATGCTACAGTGAGTGGAACTTGATTGATTTTCAAAATACTTGTTTTGCAGAATGAAACAACATATTTTAGTGCACTTAGTACCCTTAGTATATTTGAAGTTTTGAAATTCCCTTTTATTCAGTTTGAATCAATATAAATTTAATTCTATGAAACATGTATGCATATGTGTACACATGTAAATGGGCAAGTGTGTATATGAATAATATATGTAAATACATGAACATTCATGCACCTAGATATAAGACATGATACAGAACTGATACAATTAATATATATATATATTCAAAAGTGAAATTTTTCAATTTTATAGAAACAAAAAGTAAACATGATACAAATTCATTTTATAAAATTTTTTAAACCTAAGCTTAAACTTTATTTGCTAGAATCACTTGTTAAAATACTAACCATTTTACAAGATATCAAGATAAAACATTATTTTAGGAAACCAAAATACACATTGAATTTTCTATCTTTTGCTCCATAAAACAATGAACTATTATGGATAGATTACAATTCAGTCGCCATTAACTGGCATTCAGTTCATGTTTTAGAACCATCCTGACTTGATTCCAACTCACAACAGTTTTCTAAAATGAGCCCGAAGTGGAATGTATTTATGTCCTAGGTGAAATATTCTAGCTGTTAAGGGGATTGAAACTGAATATATATAATACAGTCAATAACATATACATAGAAAGGAATGATGACAACTTACGACTCAGATGTTGGTGGAAGCATTTATATTAAAAATAGTATCGTTCTCATAACATACCAGTCTTTCATATGAAATTCTGATTTTGTATTAGCGGTTACATCAGCATTTTGGGGTGCAAGAGCAGTTTGGGGTATAATCTAGAAATCAAAGGATGGACTGGTAAATACGGATAGACACAGATATTGACAGATCTATGTAAATATATGTATTTTAACCTAATATTTCGTGTAATTCCAGCCTATAGTTTCCTGTTGGCTTTTAAGATCAAAGCTGTTCAGAAGGGACCCTCTGAGCTGTGCTTTGGTGGCATGGGCTGCATTTTGTAACATCGGACTTGGTTGCTTTTGATAGTGGAGAAGCCGCATGGGTGGTCCCTCCCAGGGAATTCCATTTCTCTATGGTTACAACTCACCTGAAATGTTTCTTCTTGTGGAAAACATTTTCTGAGGGCTCTTTCTCCCTCTTTCCAGCTACAGTTTCAAGATGCATCATAGTCCTCATAACAGTGATACTCAGCCACTGTGTTTGAGTGTTACAGGAGGAAATGGAGAATTACTGCTAAAGGTCTAAGAGAGTATTTTTTGTTTTATAAAGATTATAACTAATGTCAGTTTCCCCAAAACTTTCGTATAGTAAAACTCTTTATTCTTGTTTTTTTTTCTCCAGCATTCTTACTTTAAAAAAATGAATATATATATTTAATGATTTCAGAGAGGAATGGAGAGGGAGAGAGACAAAGCATCAATGATGAGAGAGAATCATTAATTGGCTGCCTCCTGCATGCCCCCAACTGGTCATGTGCCCCTGACCGTAATCAAACCTGGGTCCCTTCAGTCCACAGGCCGATGCTCTGTCCACTGAACCAAACTGGCT